TCATAAAAGCACAAAAATTAACTTGAAATAAGTCAGAGGGATGGAAAATAGGTTACAGACCTAACTATAAGAGTTAACAATAGAGTTGACAAGGTTGAGAAGAAATATCACTTTCATACAAGGCTGGTGGGAGTGTAAAAATGGTGCGGTCACTTCAAAAACAAAATTAAAAGACAACTGTGACAGTTTCTTAAAAAGTTAAACATAAACTTATCATATGGTCCAGAAATTCCCATCATAGCTATATTCCCAAGAGAATTAAAACATATGTCCACACAAAGACTTGCACAGGAAAGTTTGCAGCAGTACTCCTAACAATAGCATAAACCTGGAAGCCATCCAAATGTCCATCAATTGGTGGGTAAAATGTAGTATATTCATATAATGGAATATTAATTCTTCAATAAGAAAGAACTATCTACATGGATGACAACATGGAGAAGCTGCAAAAATTTAACATCAAGTGAAAGGGACCACGAGCAGAATGCATGTTGTGTAATTGCATTAACATGCAATATTCAGAAAAGAAGATCTAGAGACAGAAACTGATTACCTATCTCTTGGGGGTTAGGGATGTAGGCAGGTATTGACCACAAACAAGCAGAAAGGAAGCACTGTGGATTAAGAAAATGTTTTAATAGTGGACTATGGTGATGGCTGCACAAGTATAAACTCACTAAAAATCACTGACTTTGGGCCCTCCCTGGTGGCGCAGCGGGTTAAAGCACAGCATTGAGAAGCTAAAACCACTTCCGCATGAGTTCGATTCCCGCCTGCCCCGGAGGAGACCACATGGTGTGGCAGACCTCTCCTGACCCGCCCGCTGCTCCCCTCAGCAGTGTACTTCGTAGATCTGCCTGTTCTGCTCCCCACTCTGTCTCTGGTGAAGCCTCTCACCACCCCTGACCCTCTGGCCTGTACCCCAGCTCTGTATGCACAAATAAATAAATCTTTAAAAAAAAAAAATCACTGACTTTGTACACGTAAAAGTGGATACTTCTGGGGCATACCTGGTGACCTAGGGGTTAAGTCTCAGCCCTATTACTACTAAGGTATGAGCCTGAGTTCAATCCACTGCCAGGGAGCTGACCCACATGGCAGAGGAAACCTCTCCAGTTTTGCCTACTGCTCCCATCAGCTGTGTATTTCAGTAGATCCGCCTGTTCTACTCTCCACTCTGTCTCTGGGGGATCCTCTTACCCCCTGCCACCCACCCCCATACCTCTAGCCTATACCCCAAGTTCTTCCACACACAAAATTTTAATATACAGTATATAAATCAATCCTCAAACTATTTTAAAAAGCATTTGTCAATATAAAGAACAGACAAAGCGAAATCAAATCAAATCTTTAGAGTTGGATTAGACTTGCAGAAATGAGGCTCCCTGGGACAAGGAGTTAACTGGTAGATTATGGGAACCTTAGTAGTGACTGTGGGTCATCAGGAGGTATGAACCTGTATTCTTAGAACTACAGGGATGTAAGCCAAGGTTACTTCACTAATTATCAGCAGCAGCTTTTCTCGATCTAGATGTCTTTTGTGGTGCTGACAGGAATCTACCTGCAGTCACTGATAAAAATTACACTTCCACTTCTCCAGAAAACCCAACAGAATTCACTGCCATTCTCTCCCAAATCCACTCTTTACCTGTACTAAATATTCTGGTCAATGAAAAATTACCTGAATGTTTTAACCAGATTTCTAGGGCTTATCTTTGGACCCCTCACAACAGCCATGAAATTGTTTTTATTCTATCTGCTTACTCTCTTGAATCTTATCTTCATCTATATTCTACCTCTGCCATAATACTAATCTTCTAAATAGTATCCCAACTAACTCTCTTACTCTAAAAGTGCTCTTTTTTAATGCATCTTCTATATGATTTCAGAAAACTTTTTCTAAAACACAAATGTGATTCCACTGCTCTAATTAAAACTTTGGGTTCTTATAGTACCCCATCTCTATGGGCTACAACATAGCTCTTTGACCATGCATCCCTGACTACAAGCAAAAAATTTTAACATGTCTTCCAAATGTGTATAATTATATTTCATATAAATTTTCACTTAATATAAATTCTTGTATAATATGAAAAATTAAAGTTAAATAGTGACATAAAAAAGAAACAAATAGAAGTTCTACTTTTCCTGTCCATTCCTATCATTTTGCTTACCTGCCTCCCTCTTTGGAAACCACTGGCTCAGAGGAAAATGTCTAAACTCCTTTGCATGACATATAAAGCTGTGTATCATTTGTTCCCTGCCTACATATTAACTTAATCCCTCATTACTTCACCCCACACACCATATGCTTCAGTAAATTATTTGTAGTTCCCTCATTGAGGAAGAAATTAATTTTTAACTCATATTCTTGAAATGAAATAAACATCTCTACATTTTTGCAATTGTTCTCTCTTCATGAAATGTTACTTACCCTTTTCCGTTTGGTAAGCACTTAGTCAGATATGGCCAATGCATCCAGCCTCTTTCAATGAAGAATTAATAACTCCTACCTCACCATGCTGATTTCCACTATATTTTTACATTGTACTAAGCGTCCTATTTGCCACAGTGCTTTAGCTTTTTGAGGACAGAATACAGTATACTATCTAACCTAAGTGTCTGTCACTTTAAACACTGTCAATGGCAGCTGAATAGGTTTGCTTTTCATGTTAATACAACTCTGGAATTAAATAAACAAGTTTACCATCGATAATCATACTAACTGGCATAACATGCTAATGGGTGTCAGATAGCAGTATTCAAATCCAAGAGCCAGCCAAACAAGTGACACTCCTAATAGTCTCAATTCTCCAATTCAGATGGCTGCTTCAATTTTATGGCTTCAATGTTTTACTTATTTTTGGATATTGTCATTGGGAACTGCTCTATCTCAAGCTGAAATTCCTTTTTTGACCAAAAAATTCACTTCAACCACGTAAGTGTTCAGCTTCAATACCTCATCTTAGTTACTGGTCTTGTCAGATCTCTTGCTTCCAGCCTTTTCCCCCCATACTCCAGCCTTTTCCCCACATACTCTCATGAACATACCCACTGTGACAGAAATAACTCCTAAATTCTGGTATGGTTTCTCAGTCACATTTCTGACATGGTTGGGTAATTTTATATTGAGGAGGAGATTACAGTGGATTTCACTTACATATCCAACTGGATCCCATTGGACACTGTTTTTTTTTAAAAAGCAGTTACTAGAATAATCCACTAAAAATAAATACATTAATTAAAAATATAACCATACTTTCATTCACAAATTCTTTGAGCATTAAGTCCACTAACTGAAAATTCTGGCTTAAACCACACAATACTACATGGAATAAAATTTCCACTCTATTTTTTAAAGATGAACAGAAGATATGTGAAACAATCTGTGTACAGAATCTTTCAGGATTTTTATTACTTCCCAAATCTTTAAGTTATTATACCTTTTGTAGCAACTTTTAAGAGCTATTTTCTAAATTAAAAGTCCTCTAAAATAGTAAACTTAGTTTTCTTATAAATAGTTAAGGACTTAACCTTAACACTGAGGTTTCATCATTTTACTTGATATTTAATTAAGCTACAAATTATAGTAACAAGTAGAAATGAATTCATAAGCAAATACTATCCATTTTCAGTATGCATTAGATACAACTGGTGGAAATGAAAATATCTGGTTGCACTGGCAAGGAGTCCATCAACTGTATGAATGTACAGCTAAATATTGTACATAATTAGGAATGTGTGTATACAGAAGCTATTTCAGCTTAAATTAATTATTCTATAGGGTAATCTATAACTACCTAACATTTTTGCAAACTGTTGTTCTCTTTCTTTTTCTGGGAATACTGTTATACCAAAAATAAATAAATAAACAAGTGCCTCAGGACTGAGATGCAAGTAAAGTTGACATTTTATATAAACTGTATCCCCATCTCTTTTAATATTAACTTGATTTTTACTTTTTTCTTCTCTTTATGTTATAGAAAAAGATGTTAGTTGAAGAAGAATGAGAAGTTAGGGGCATTTGATGAGGATTTAAAATCTTATTTTAAACCACTGATTATAAAAATAATGTACACAAGTAGCTGATCACAAATTCACTAAGAATGTTAGGTAATAATACATTACGCCATAAGATAACTTAGTATCACCCTCAGTAAACTAACAATGAACTTAATCATTTATTGTAACTATAGGCAGTCATCTAGATGGCCAGTCAAAACAAGCATGTTTAAATGTAGTTAGAAGAGGAATAAATCTTTCATGAGTGTTAGTGGGTTTTTTTTTTTCTGAAACAACCAAACAAATCATATACAAATAATTCAACTGTAAATAACATGCTGGAAAATCTTTAATCACTTAGTAAATCTAAAGAGCCAAACCACTTTATATGTGAAATATAATATGCAATAATTCAAAGTCTTCCTGGTTATTGAATATCTCTGAGAAAAGTGATTTCACTACTTAATTACTAATGAGTAATTGAAAAATGGCATATTGGAAAAACTTTAAACCTCCAGAAAACTGAGTATCCTAAAACTCAAAAGCAATGCTGGGCACTTACAGTATCTCAGAATTTATTTTATCAGAAATTCTAATTTCACTAATTGAGAAGCGAATCTGAAAAGGTAAGAAACTTAATCCAGTTACAAAATAGTGCAGAGCAAGACGCAGTGCAGAAACCTGGCAGGAGCACATCTCTGAATCACCATGCTCTCTCTGCATGGTGACTGCACAGCAGAGACTAGAAGCTTTTTACACTATGGTCACAGCAACACCAAAGTTAGAACTAGGCTGTCCTAATATATTACTTACAATGGTCATTACCAGAAACGTTTCCTTGGTACAAGTAGTATAGTTAAAATGCCAAAATGACTAGTAGTTAAATAAAACTTACAAGAACAATATTAGAATATCTGAATTCTTTCATCATCAAGAGAGAAATCCAATATCAATTAACTCTTATCTACTTTGAACTGAAGAATTAAACATAAAATTACCTTTGAAGGCTTCAAGTTCCTTCCTGTAGGGGAAAAAAGAACCAGAAAACATATATTTAAAACAGTTTCTTCTAAATGGATACTTCTTTTAGATTTGAATAATATTTTATATAAAGGCCAAGAGTGTTATTTCTGGATGCTCACATATCAAATATACTTTACGGACACTAGCAATACTATTAGCCTAGTGCTAATTATTTCCAGTTTTTTTGCTATTATTTTATTAAATGCTAAAAAAAATTAGCCATTAAGATGCTGCAGCACTTATGAGAATACAGAAAATTTTAATATATAGAGTTATTTATACAAGATGGTTCTTATTTTAGAAGACCCTAGCAATTTTCTCATAATTGATAAATATTATATAATAGGTTCTCAAGATCTTTGAAACTTATTCAGGATAGGAACAGTTATTTCCCATTTTAAATGAAAAGGGAAAGCACATATCAAAGAACTGATGCCCTTGGCTCAACCTGATGCAAAAGAGCCACAGCCTGCAGGAAATCTTGTTTTATAGTTTTGTTAGTCAATTAAGTATGCTGAAATACAGAGTTTCCTGGAAAAGGTAAAGGATAAATAGATGAACAATCATAAAACAAAACATTTTTTTGACAATTCAAAGTAAGCTGTTTGCAAGTTTTCCTTTTTAATTTTGTAATGATATGTTATCTCATTACAGTACTAAGAAAAAAATAATTTTGAGTATATAAGTTTGTTTAGCAAAGCCTTGTTATCCCACTCAAAATATGAGACATGTATCTTTAATTTGCACTCTAGATTTTATTAAAAATCTGAAGATATTTTGAATTCTCAAACCAGTATCCCACACTATTAATTACAATACATACCCCTTATGTTCTAAAATAGTTGACTATAATTAACAGCTGGTAACAAACAGATAATATTCTTCTAACAGCCAAGCGAAGATTCTTAAATCAGATGGTCATCTCAGTTGTCTTTTTCTAAAAATACCAACTCCTCATAATAGTGCTCCAGTACCATAGTTCATTAACCAAGAAAGAGAATATTTTCAAACTTATCTTTTCAAAACAACATGCAATTGTTTCTATCAACAGTCCCACCGCATTCTGAAAAGATAAACTGTACACTTGTTAAATGTCTAAAATCTATCTTATATTCCATGGGATGAAAGTTGAAGCAACTACAGAAAAGCAACATGTATCATAAGAGAACATCCTGATAAAACACCTTCAATTTATTTCTTATTGAGGCCAACGACAGGTGGAAGAGATGACAGAACACTCAGTTAAATATCCTAATGAGATTCTTTTCTATGATTATAAAAACTTTTAGTAAATGTAGAGGGCTTCTTTTAGAATTTGTGGAAGTAAACAAAATTTCTAAAAGGCACTTTGTTTTAAAAAGGTGAAATTTGAAGTAGTGGAAATTGTTCTTCCACTACTCCCAGCCCCCAAATACCAAGAATCTTAAAAACAAAAAACAGTCTAGGAAAGGTGCCTTTTATTCAGAGATACCACGTTCACCTTTCAACTTGGCTGACTTGTCAAATCAATGGGAAGATGCTGAGAAAAAGAGGCCTGGCAGAATGTCTTTCTAGGATGAATATCATTGATGTACAGAGTACCATAACCCCTCTACAACTGTTAGTAAAACTGACAAGAAATTCCTGTAGGCTGTAAATTATTCCTGTCCCCCATTTCTAAAAAAGACTGGCAGAGGCATGGTGGTAGAGACAACTCATTTTATTAAAGTAAAAATCAGAAATACGGAACTTTTAAAGTACTGACAAAACTGTAGCACTGAAAGCCTTGAAATTCCCTAGGTTTTCAGGTGGATGCCACCATCTGATAGAGGTAATAAGCCTGTAGATACAGGAGCCACATGACAAGGGCTTGAGAGGCAGGTCAAGCTGAGGTGACGATGAAAGCAAAGGCATGGCGGTCAAAGGATGTGTGGGAAACTCTGTGGGAAGAGCAAGTACATCAGAACAGCAGGGTGGATGAAGAGAAAGTAGCTGGAGATAAGGTTAAAAAGGTAGAGAGTTCAGAAAGGATCTGGTTTTATTTTTAGCAAGAGATTAACATGAACAAAACTGTGCTTTAAGAACATTCTAACTGACGGATAGATGTACTGACAAGGGGGCAGAATAAGAGCAGGTAGTACTTAGGCAACTATTAGAGGAGCTTGAAGAAGAGCTAATTAGTGCCTGGCAAGAACAACATAACTGGCAACAGCAATGAAAAGGGATTCAATTGAAAAATGCCACAAAGAAAATGCAATAGTCCATGGCAACTGATTAAATAGGGTAAGTGGAGGGAGATGATGCGTACATTACACAGGAAGGTTCTAGTTTGGATCACTGGGAACAAGGTGAAGTCATTAACAATAGAAAACTTAGAAACAGACGTGGAGGGCAGTGTGCATGAGTTCAATTTGGAAATCAAAATAAGCTGGAAGGATGGAAACCTGAGGCTGATGGGTGCAAGGAACATGTTTAGTTCCTACAGAGTTCTACTCCTCACCTTCCATTCAATCTTTATATATACACACATATATATATATACACACATATACATATATATATATACACACATACATAATTGTTCATTTCTTAACAATGTTTGCTTTCTCCTCTCAGAATTCCCACCACCGAGTCACCTGGGCACCATCACTGCAGTTCCTTGTGCTCTTCCCTCCCTTGTTCAGCTCCTTCTCCCTCCCCTTCCTCTACAGAATGTCTGATTTTTGTCTATTTTTGCTTTGTTGTGTTGTGTTTTATTGTTAATATTTTGCCCCTGATGCCTTATTTGGTTCCCCTATATTCCTCCTATAAATGAAACCATCCACTGTTTTTCTTTTCCTTCTGACTTATTTCACTGCATAGTCCCTTCTAGTGCCATTCATGTTGCTCCGAATGTCATCAGTTTATCTTCTTTGACTGCTGAATAGTATTCCATTATGTAAATATACCACATCTTCTTAAACCAGTGATCTATTTTTGGGTTGTTTCCAGGTTTTACCTAATCTTAACAGTGCTACAATAAACACAGATCTGTTCCAATTTGGCTTCCAGATCCTACAACACTGCACAATCATTAACAATCACCATGTTGCCAGACACAATGGTTACATCTCCTTATCATAGGAATGCCTCACCAGCATTTGTAACTATTGGAAATTGCTTAAAGAAGTTTCCTCTAGCTTTTCTCCTACTTCCTTAATATCTTTTGCTAACTTTTCTACCTCTTCCAGACCAATTAAAAAGTTTTGTTCTAGGGATTTTTCTCTCTTTACATTCTCTCACAAGGCAATTTCAACCAAATGTGTAGTTTTAAATGTGGGAACTTCCTAACAGAAATCTCCTGCTTGATATTTTCTTTGAGCTGCAAACAACTAACTGCTATTTAATAACTATTCTCAAAAGTCAAGTGGATTTTTCAAACAACATTTGTACATCAGCCTATTCTTCTAGTCTTCCATTCAGTTCCCATTAACAGCATTACCAAGGTCCTCAAGCTGTAGTCTCTCCATTTCCCTTATTCTCCACATCCTCTCATTCAATAAATCCTGTCAATTGTATCTTAAAAGATATCCTGAATTGTTCTATTTCTCTCCATCATCACAGCCATCGACCTTGTATAATTATCCATTTTCTTGTTTCAAAATTAATCTTTGTTGAGTTCAGTATTTCACTCAAAATGTAATTTCAATAAAAATGCATTGAGCCTCAAATTAGAATTTAGAAATAGGAATAACAATAATGCTAAGGTGGGATAAACATTCTGTAATCTCAAGGAACTCTAGTGGGAGAAACAGAGAAGTAAAGCAACAATTAGAAATTGATGTTATAGATTAGTGTTCTGGTAATGACATGCTGTGGATTCTTGAGAAATCAGGAGGAAGTAGCTCAGACACCTGGTTTGGTAATAAAGGTCACCTGCAGGAGCAAGGAATGACTATTTTTGAGAGATAATTGGTAACATTTATTGAAAATGACAGATAATTTGCTCCTAACCATATATCATACTTCAGTTAACCAAGTGAAAAAGCATAGGGAAGCAGGAAGTTTAAGGTAAAGGCAATAATTACTAGAAAAGTCTTCATCTTTTCCATGAAGACATCTTTTACATCCAATGGTCTGAACTATAGCCTTACTGCTACCAGTGTTAAACCACCTCACTCATGGCCTTGTGCTGCAGTTATTCCGTACAGACCTCACCCACACAGTTATAATGCAGAGCTCCTGAAGTGCAGCGATCATGTCACCACAACCCTAATCGCTCACGTGCAAAGTCAGTTGCGTAGGCATGCAGTAAATCATGGCTGTCAAGTACTGTGGCTGCAGAATGATTTAGGAATTATCTGTGTCCCTTGCTATAAGAGAATTCTATTCTTCATAATGAGTTTGGTCATATAATATCTCACTTGACAATTTGTTTGCCACTTGCATTTTCACAAATAAAAATCTCTTATTTTTCAGTTCAATTGTAAAAAGTAAAAAGAACTAAAATACCTTCCTTAAGAGTTTACTGTATTTTGAAATTCACTCAATTTAGCAAATGCCTTTACAAAATTAAGCATAACAAACTCTGAAATTAAAACATTCAACAAATAACAAGTTCAAAATTTAACAATATTTATTGTTAAAAGGGTAAAACTGCCATTTAATTGTTTATTCTCCAAGGGTTGAATTATAAGGGCAGTATAAAAACCAAAAAGCATCACATTAATAAATAAACCTATGGAACATTGCAAGAAGCATATTAAATTTGTATATGTATAGAAATCAACAAAATCAGATTCTCTGATGCACACTTAACAGACTGGATAAAATCTCCAGGAACACAAACATCTCACAGATGAAAAACACTTTCTCTAAATATTAAGCTGCTTCTCTAAGACAAATCCATGATAAAAAGCTAACAGTGATTCTTGGTGGGAAAAAAACACATTCAAAAGCCAAATGAAAAATAAACTAACATTTTTCTTCACGTTTGAGAATATATAGGACAAACATTTGGTGTAGAACATACTAGGAAAG